AAAATTAGAATCGATTTTCTTGGAAAGTATTGATTCAGTTTCCAACTCCAACTTTTTCTATGCGTTATCGGGAGTCATGCAGGACTCCTTTCTCGATCTTTTAAATATATTTGATATAGAACTATATATTGTCAATTTTCATCATTTTTTCGTCCTTTATTTGGTTTCCTGATATTTATATAGCCCTGTGGTTATTTCAGGGAGCCAGCTCTCTTTCAAATCTTCTCAAAAATTACAAAACAATTAGTCACAGATCACAAATATATTTTACTAATAATAATAATGTTAACTATAATTTAAATAATTTCTTTGTGTATATAAATTGCAATTTGAAAGGAGCAAATAAAAAAAAAATCTTGTAAATCATCTCGGCACATTGCCACTTATTAGGGTTAAAGACGGGTTACAGTCCGTGCTGCGCATGTGCGATTCTTTTTGTTTTGGTAGACTACTTATCTCTCGTTTCCATGGTTTCCAGTTCGATTGCGTAATATACGCGCGATTCTATACTTGTTGATACAAGGAGTGGGAATACACAGTTTCGAAGCGATTTCCAACGATTTGTGACTTTTATGAAGTGAAATCCGATTAATAACAAATCATTGAAACAATATGAGAAGAAAGAAAGAATATTACTCCAACAAGGATGCCTTTAAAGTGTGTTTATTTGAAATTCAGTCAAGCGCTTCGCCATGTCGAAGTTATACTGTCATATAAAGGTAAATATTTGTTTTACATTTGATTATTTCGTTCTCCAGAGTCGAGATTGGATCTTTAATTCACTGTGAATTTGTGACAATGTTTAAGCTAGGGCAATTTTATTCATTTACTGTCTGAGAAAAGATGGGATCTCTGAGTTTATAATTCAACTTGTTCGAGACATGTATTGATGTATATTTGTAGTACTTCACCTCGGCTCAGTACTATACTGTAGCTTAATTCAGTCAAGGATAAAACTGATTTCATCTTTATATGGCGAGCTGTTATCAAAATGCTACTGGGATTGAGTTATTGGATGATTATTGTTTTGTAATTCATAAATCAGGCATCTCCAGATGAACTTTCTGGTAGCAGAATATATTGAATTTTTTTACATGACATGATTGAACATACTGAATAAAATTTCTATTATGCTGTACTATAGGTTACCTTGAGCTCATGGAAACATTACAGATTGTACAACACTAACATCAAATAAACATGGTGATGAGTGTGGAGATGTGGTTATAATAAACCATATAGTGGTTAACCAATCAGAAACAAATTTAAAGAGAGGAATAAATATAGAAGAAACAATACAGATTGGATGCTGATGAAACAAAGATGGAAGAATGTATTGCCTTATAATAACAATTCACATTACATAAGAGCACAAGCATTGTTTATAAGTTGGAATAATTTGATTGAGTTGAGAATAGTTTGATTGACTTGGGAATGTTATCCAGTGCTGGTTGAGAGTCAGAAAATTATGTCCTTAAATAGCCACCTATAAAATGTCTTCTATAGTTCTATTTCCTGTAGCTACTTTATATATTTCATTATCTTTTTGTATGGATATATGATAACTGATTTCAAGCACCATGTTTCATGCCATGTGAACAAAAATGTAGTATAGCAGTTTTAACATTCTGGCTAAAATAGTTATCTGGCCAACATTGAGATATAAATACTGATAGTTTTGGTGGAGATAACATTAATTACCATCATGTAACATAGTCAGGGGGATAATTCTCTAATCCTTACATCTGCTTTGTTTTGGGAGTTTCATTAGATGTTTAACAATGAATGATATTACATGTATTGCATTATATTATATTATATTGTAGTAAAGTATGAACATCTGATCATTAGTGTGGTATAAAGCAATATGCTATATATTGAATTTTTTACAACAACTAGGTATAACAGTAATAACACTTTTGCCTGGGTGGTGGCTAATTGATGCCGTGCAACAGATACTGCCAAGATGTGGTTCACACCAGCAACTTTCTACAAGATTTGTATTGTAACTATTGTTCACACTAGCAACTTTCTTCAGGACTATGATCATGTTTTTCAAATAACTGTCACAACAGGCAATGTCATAGCAATGTTTAGAACATCTGACTCAAAACAATTTCTTGGAACAACAGTATTCTACATATTATACAATGTGTTATCTTGATCTAACAGAGCACATATTTTCTTCCTGTCGGCATGGGGAACACAATGTCTACAGTTGCAGCAGTCCAGATTTTGGTGGGTGTAGCCATGAATATGGTGGTGGTGATCTGCAAATTGTCCTCAATTTTTCCATGAATGAGAACCTACAGTATCCCAGACTGGAAAGTTTGAAAATTGCGCGGCCGAGATTACGGAAATTTAATAGTAAATACATTGGGACATCAAAACTGCGCAACCGAGATCTCGGTTGCGCATTGCAAACTTTCCAGACTGGACAGTATCAATGTTTCAAAAAAAAAATTTACATGGGGTATATACCCTTTATAAAGATTACACTATGGGATGCATTTTTTGAAGGTTCACAAACAATCATCATGCCATGCCATTCAACATAGTACATTTTTGTCCAGTACAGTAGTGATATTAATTTTAATATGCAATCACACAAAAGTGCTATAAAACATACAACAATGATTGAATGTATGGTCAGCAGGACTGGGTCCCATGTGAAGACCAACCTACAGTACAATCATGTCCGATGTAAAAAAATATATGCTGCTACCAAAAGGCTCATCTGGAGATGCCTGATTATGAATTACAAAACAATAATCATCCAATAACTCAATCCCAGTAGCATTTTGATAACAGCTCACCATATAAAGATGAAATCAGTTTTATGCTTGACTGAATCTAGTACTGAGCCCGAGGTGATTAAATTAGATTTCAAGTACTATATTTAAATAGTCTATACATGTCTTGAACAAGTTGAACTATAAAACTCAGAGATCCCATATTTTCTCAGACAGTAAATGAATGTAATTGCCCTAGCTTAAAAACTGTCACAAATTCACAGTGAATTAGAGATCCAGTCTCGACTCAGGAGAACGAAATAATCAAATATATAAACAAATATTTACCTTTATATGTACTAATATACGACGTACATGGCGAAGCGCTTGACTGAATTTCAAATAAACACACTTTAAAGGCATCCTTGTTGGTGTAATATTCTTTCCTTCTCATATTGTTTCAATGATTTGTTATTAATCGGATTTCACTTCATAAAGGTCACAAATCGTTGAAAATTTCTTTGAAACTGTGTATTCCCACTCCTTGTATCAACACATATCGAATTGCGCGTATATTACGCAATCGGACTGGAAACCATGGAAACAAGAGATAAGTAGTCTACCAAAACAAAAAGAATCGCACATGCGCAGCACGGACTGTAACCCGTCTTTAACAGGGTGTGTATAGGCAGATAATTTAATCAACTCATTGAGAGGCAGCACTCAATCTCTGCCTGATGAGTAAAATTGTTGTCTGGCATTAATTTAGACAGAGTAAAATAATAAAGTATACTGTAAACCTCCGACTATAAGCCCCGGGCTTATATACTTTCGTAGGCGATTTTTGGTGGGCTTATATACGGGTGGACGTATACATGGACAATCTTTTGTGTTAGTAATAAACAAGTCAGACATAAACAAGTCAGTCATAAACAGGGAAATAAATTTGTATTAAGCAGCGATTACTGGGCTTATTATAAGTAATAGCATGACATTCAGGGCGATTAGTGATTAAATGTACCCGAAAGCCAAGAGAGGTTTAGACTTTTACTAAACCTCTCGAGGCTTGAGGGGCATTTCATCACTAATCGACCGTAATGCCATGCTATTACTTTGTAATATCATAGTTGCAAAGGGAATCGCGCGTGGTGTGTTGCCTGTTTTGAATGCTGTTTGATTGTCTTATGATTGTGGTACTAACATTTTTCATATATACACACGCACAGAAACACATCTCCGTGTTCATTCGTTTTAGGCATGAGCATAAACGGAATTTTCTCCCACAATTGAAATGTTCAAGATTAGGGAATAAAAGGTGGCAAAGTGATTGTTCGAATGTGTACGGGACAGTGTCGTCAGATACTGTCCATAGTTGTGCCGATGATTTTTAATGAGGTACAGCTGTCCAATCAGAGGTAATGAGGTACACGTTTGTCTTCTAAATATCCCTCATCAAGCATGCACGGGAAAATTAGAACTAATTTTACCACGGGGAAAATTAGTTCTAATTTTGTCCGTGGTAAAAATTAGTTCTAATTTTACTCCATGTTTTAGTAATAAGGTAAATTAGTGATTAATCGTACCTCGCGAGACAAATGATTTCGAGGCAACTATGATATTATATTAATTGGAGGACTTATATTCAGGGGGGCTTATATTTGGAATGAGGTGAGCGTTAGTACATGTGGTGGGCTTATATTCGGGGGGGGGGGGCTTATAGTCAGGTTTACGTTATATAGCTAGGGCACATCGGGGCACAGTGCCACTTAAAGGATTAAGCAGTTTTCAGTCCCAGAACTCGTAGACTTTGTAACATTCAGCCACAAGTTTTCAACTTTCCAACAGCTTTTTGTCTCATTTAATATGACTATATTGGTTTGAAATGTGTATACATGCAAGTTAAAAAATGTCCATTCAGTAATTATTCTATTCAGAAAGCAGCAGTTAAAGAAATGCAGGCTTTAATCTCCTCATGAATCATGATTTGTGTAATTATATTTGATTGTGTATTTCTTGAGCCAAAAATCAGTTGAAACCTTGTGATTGCCCCAGTGCCCCCACACACAGTATAAAGTAACATATACAGAAAAAGCCCTCCATCAAACACATGGGTTATTTAATATGAAAAATTTCATGGGTTATTTAATATTCGCCATTTATAATACCATGCTACTATATTGGAAAGAATTTAGACTTAGACATACCTTCTTTGTTTTTTTTTGCCTTTGACTGATCAGATAATTCTTTGGATTTTACTCATTTTCTTACTTTCTTTGGCTTTGACGATATAGAAGTTGCCTTCGTGTTATTTCCTTGTGTCTCTTTCCCAGTTGGCAGCGTAGTCGGTGGCATATTTTCCTTGTCAACAGTCACTTGATAATTTTCATCTCCAAACATCTGAATTAAAAAGTCTGTCTCCGCTTCTAGTAGAACGCTAGGATCATCTATATAATACAGAAGAAAATGCAATGTACTAGGTTGTAAATAATACTACCGGTGTTCTGCTTTGCAAGTGAAAGGATTAAAGACACAATGTTATTAAAGCCCCCTAGGGCCCTGATTAAAGCCAAATAAAAATGTTTACTGTCACCGATCAATTTTATACTGCCGTCAAAATTTGGCACTTGGCAGACCTGTAATGCCGCATGGAATGGAATTTGCAACTTCATATATAAGCGCACATTTTGCCTATTAATGCCTAACAGTAGTTAGAACGGGAAAGTTTAGTTTTTTATTTACCATGTAACTTGACCACCCTTGCTTTGAAGTTCTCCTTCCCAAATTCCACAAGCACAGTTGCTCCCTCTTGGACCATGTCACCTTCTATTACATGTTTTACTTTTGTTGTCTCCTGAACAGCCGTTGTCTGGTCAACACTGAAAAATATCAGCATTTGCTTTGGCTTTGCAGGCTGATGAAGTAATCCACAATAAGCCATCTTGTAAAGTATTAAAATGTTTCAATAATTCGATAATCAGAACAGCCGCCGAAGAGTGCAGATTGCAGAATGACAAAGTGATCATCAAACCGCATTTTTATAATTGCTTTCCAGTAATGAGTCACGAATCAAAATAACCTACACATCACATACATGTGTGTGGTCAATACCCCGAGTCCGACCAAACAATTTTCCTAATGGCTCGTAATTACATGTCACTTGGTCGTGTGTTGAATAGGCTATTGAATTTGTTTTTCCGAAAGAGGTAGCCAAAATATCACACACAGTGTCAGTGTTACGTTTGGACTTTTATACTGAATCATCATCAGACTACGACCCGGTTTTATACACTACAGAAGTTTCTGTGGTCGCAGAAGGAGTTTTAAATGGATAAACTAATACTGGAAAAGCACAAGGTAAGGACAATCATCCAGTTTATTAGCCATCCTTTAGACTAGAAATACAGATAATTTCAGACATTTATATTCATTATTAAACAGTCAGTGTCAGAGGTCATACTGTAATATATTTTTACAAATGTATTTGTAAACAAAGCATTTAATTTGCTTAATTTATTTCAGGAACCAATTATACAGGAGCGTTGAACTTCGCAATGCCAAATGAGCTTATTTTTCATTTTTGTCACACAAAATCATGATCAAACCCAAAGACAAAAATAAATAGCGTTAGTGAAAACTGAAACCTAGCTGTCTGATACTCGTATATTTTGTATTACCCATCACTGATAAAGGCATATGTAGTGCCCGGCGACGGAAATGTTTCAAAACCAAACACCATGGTTGTCAAAAATATCACACTTCCGTAATTTTTAATAGACAATACTCATTACTTAGACAAAAGGCGCGAGCATTTTCTATCTTAACTCATGCAACAATCGTACGCGGCGAGTAATGATTGTTTATCACCTATCGGCTCTAGTCTCTGTGTCATCGGGCACTGATCTATTCGGTGCCATAGTATTTACAAGGAAAACATCAATATTGCAAGTGTGCTGTTTTAGATAGAATCGACCCGAGACGTTGGGTCATATCATAGTCACTAGTATTTTGACTACTTGTAAATACTTATAATCATGTGTATAATGACTTAGTTATGCATAAAAAAACAACACATGCCGACAATTTAAAATAAAACTGTAACAAGTGCGCTGCAAGATGCGTATCTTTGTTTCAGCCCGTTGATCCAGTCTGAGATGTGGCCATGAGCAGGAATATTTGTTTGAGCCGGCTGAGTCAGTCAGAACTATTTTCATCCCGTGATGTTAAACCGTGGACTGAAATGGCTTGTGCACAGCACATACTTTTCTAGCTTGGTTCTATTTAACTCAGCTTACATACATGTATATACAGTTGAAACAAACATGCAAAACAAAGCCATTAAACATTGTAAAAATTATTCCGGATTTAATACTGCAGCCCGACTGTGTTGAGTTTTATCAGCCAGGGATTAAGTTAAGCTTAAAATAATGATTCATAGTTGTCAAATGTCAAACCCTACTACTCAGCTCAGGTTTCATTCGGTCAGGATTTTCCGATGCGAGAACGTGGTTTTTAACCGAAGGGAGAACGCGTTTCCAAGTTTCTTCTGGAACGCGTTCCAACCGCATTCCGACCGTGTTCGGAACGCGGACGCAGTACTGTATGTTGAGTATTGCACACATTGACTGGATGAATCATTCCGACCATCATCACTGAGGATGATATCTTGTCCAGTCTTTTCTTCTCAAAGCTACTGCTTGTGTTGTTCCCAGAGCTCGTTTACAGCAGGGGCAATGTACAGACTCTGATACTGAGTAAACAGTGTTTTAGAAAAATACTGCAACTTAAAGAATCTGAACATTAACCCTACTTTTGTATACGAGTTTCCAGACAGTTCCTTGATGAATAGCATCCTCCACACTTATTCGTTTGACTGATGACTCATTTCCTTCATCTTGTGCCAACTCCTCATCATCGTGGCCACCAATTTCTGTGCTGAACACCTCTTCCTCAATGAATGATGCTTCCATGCAAGGCCATAATAGGGGTGTACCATTACAGGGTCTGCTATACTGCACAAAATTAATGACTTTTCAATTACTGAATTCAAACTTTTCCCAACACTTTTGTCACTGGAAATCATTAGTAATGAAATGAAATCCTTGAAAATGGCAGCCACATAAAAGCATGAATTTACTTATTCAAAACATCTTGACATATTTAGATGTTACAGAACTTAACTTCATTTATATTTTTGTGTAATTCGACTTTGCATCAACCCTTCTATTAGAATTCGGGGACATTTTCCTAGCAAGAAGTTGTTTTGAGTTTGGAGCTCTGAAGCTGTGCAGAAAGTTTTGTAAGGGTTACTGGTAAGATCACAGCATAATGATTTGAGACCATTTTGAGATGATATAAATAGACTCAGACTTGGCATATTTGCCCTGTAGTTTGTAATTAGCCTAAAACAAATTATCCACATATTTACAGTACATGACTGTATATAAAATAGCAACATACTCAACACTTTCATCCATGGGCATGATGGTTGATGCAGTCAGAGTTGTGTTATCATCATATTCACTATCTGAGTCATCCTCATTACCAGATAGTGTTTCCTCTTGTAAAAGATTTCTGTATTTAATTTAGAAACAAATAACACATGAAAAATATACCAAACTTTTCATGTATTGACCATTTTTGTCATCGTTAACAAGACTACAAACCTCTTAGATATTGTAGCACTGATAGCAGACAATGGTGAACTGTCAGGTAGTACGCTTAGTCTACTTCGTGAATGTAAAATTGGTGGAGTTGAATTGGTAACTACATGAGAATAAATTTTAAAATGTAGATTTATAAAATTTAGATTGAATTAACAATTTATCCATACATTATTTTAATTGTTGTCTTCATCACAAAAGGGTCAAGGCCTTTATGTTTATAATTTTTGGAAATATTGGATTTGCAAAATGAGCAGAATGTGTAGGTTGAGAGATAGATAGAAAAACTTTATTTACCCACGTTAACCCTGTCAACTGAAGCTGGTTTCCACAGGGGACGTGTAAAAAATATACATGGGTTCTTGAGATACCCATTAATTGGGGGGGGGTTTGCTTCACTATGAGCACACAAGACTTCTACTGGTTGATGAAAGTCTACTCGATAAAGTAGAGTTGACAGATAATAGGCCATGGGTGGGGGTGGATGTACCACTATACAGTATATAAGACAGTCAGTGTTGCTTTTTATTTTATAATTTCATCAAACGTTTACCAAACATATAATAAAATATCTTTGACTTTGTGCACCGGTTAAAACAACAGTTAACTTACTGGCACAGCTTATCTGTATTTCTGGGGAATTCAGGGCTTCGGCATGGTCAAGAGGTGTAGAGGTAAAAACTATGAAATATGAATGAAAACAATTATATATTTTTAAAAATAATACACGCCACAATATATTATAAACTTGTAATTGATGCACTGTTTGATATGCATACTGTTGCTATTAAACACTTACACAGCGAAGGAAAATTGTCCAAGGTGGATTCTCTTTGTCTAATTCGTGCGCTTCTTCTAGGTGTTGTTGGCCTCACTGGCAGGTCTTCGGCATGGCGAAGAGGTGTAGAGGTAAACACTATGAAATATGAATGAAAACAATTATATATTTTTAAAAGTATAAATACACGCCACGCAACATAATAAACTTGTAATTGATGCACTGTTTGATATGCATACTGTTGTTATTAAACACTTGCACGGCAAAGGAAAATTGTCCAGGGTGGATTCTCTTTGTCCAATTTGCGTGCTTCTAGGTGTTGTTGGCGTTGTTGGTGGAACAATGGGCAATTCATCTTGAATAAACTCCGGTTTAGTTTGGCTTGTTTGGGTCTCCACACTCACACTATCGACAAAATATATAAATTTTAGATGCGAGACAATATGAAATTAAACAAAACACATTGCATAAAAAGAAATGCTTTTATTTGTGTATAATCTCACCATAATCGATCCTGCTGTGCTTGATAGGATTCAAGTAACATTTCAGCGACATCCTTGTCACTCTTGATATTTTTGCTTTCTTTAAATGCCCTCCAACGTTCAAAGACATCAAATAAATAAACCTTTGAAGCGTCTCTGCTTGCTAAATATGCCTTTCTTTTTTCCTTTCTCAAACTTGTACTCGACGGATCAATATTCAACACACTAGACGTCAAAGGAGTGTTCTCTGCCATGTTTGTGAATAATTTCTCGCGCGCCGACCACTAAGTAGACTGGAACGAGCAATATCCACTTTCAGTGGAGTCCCCTGTAAACAAACACCTTGTGCATGCACAGAAATGATTTATCCCCCCCTTTAATATTGACTAGGAATATCCTTCCTCTCGGAAAACATGGTCTAAAGATGCTTGCATAACCGTAAGGCAGTCAGGCTCATAGTCTTCTCTATTTGTTTTTCGCACTTCAGCATATAAAAATCTCGACAACACCTCATCAAGTTCTTTAACTTTGCATGTCTTCTTCGCCCATATTCCTCAATGCTGCCATCCACTTTTTAAACACCCAAGCCCATAAATTGGTGCTTTATCTCATATTTCAAGTTTTGAATAATGTCGCTTATTTTCAAAGATGAAATTTCCCACTGCTTGCATGTCTCAGCCAATCAGGTGCAAGTAATTTTGCCCCGAATTAAGAAGAAAATGCCCTCATTAGCCAATTATATTCGAGTAATTTTGCCCTCTATATGATTATAAAATAAATTTGCATCATCGGCGAATAAATTAAATTTGAAGAGTTATACATAAATGATTTTCATATTTATAAAATAAACACTAACAACAATCTTTTCAGTTAAGGTAGTTGAAATATGTGGTAGCTCAAATAGGTTTACTTGAGCAAATTAATTAATATTTTCATGATAAAACCAAATGAAAACTTATTTCAATGCTCTAATGCTATATCAAATAACTGAAAACATGTTTGTATATGTTTAGGACTTATGTTGGCAAAATCTGGTGTGCACTGGTTAAGCAAATAATTAGTTACATATATGGTGTTTTGTTAGTATAGGTGATAGCATGGTTTCGAGTGCAATTTGGATATAACATGCACAAGTGAGTTTTTCAAAGACCTCAAAATAGCACGAGTCCGAAGGATGAGTGCTATTTGAAGTCTTTGAAAAACTCACGAGTGCATGTTTATCCAAATTTCACGACAAACCATGCTATTACTTATTAACAAGACGCCTGCTCAGGCGTTCACACTGACCTGAAAATGACGACATACATGCTATGATGCAGTACACAAGAATCAAGTCGTAAACCGCAAGCAAATTGCATGGATTTTTAAAAAAAATAAAAGACCTTTTCGGGAGACCTATGGTGCAAATCTACAACTAGGAGTTACTATCGCAAGGAAAGTGCTGCCTTTTTGCCACATGAATTGAATGTAAAAGTTTGTATTTCTAAACAATTCTCTAAAGGGAAGTTTACTTTTGACCCAATGGCATCATTTCCACATTTCATCATTGGTAGAATGGCAGGCCTGCACATGAAGGTTATTATCCCCTATATTTTGTGCACAAATTTGTTTCTCGTTCATCATTTAAGCAAGTGGATATTAAGGTCTACTAATCTATTAGCTGGCAACACACACTACTTTCGGTAATAACTCTGACTAACGCCAGACAAATTTACACCGTGTACCGCCAGACGATTTTACTTGTCAGTGGTAGAGTACTGTCAGTAAATAGTTTAACAAACACATCTGTCAATGTCTTTTATTAAACCATTAGTTGGCAATGCACCCTTTAATATTTACTGTCTATCTACTTTAGTATTTACTTTATAGACAATTGCACTGGCAGCAAAGTACTGCCTGTATTAAGGCTAATTTCGCGTCACGCCCCAATTCAAAATTTTACATTTTTACGATTTTTATCTCAACAAGCACCATTGTAATCCTGCGGGGGCGTCAAATGCCGTCAACTATTACACAAACCGAAACAATAAAATATTTACTCACCGCTTGGCCAAACATTCTGTATTTCATATCAAGAAAAAAATTTGAATATCTTCTAAACTCTTCACAATTTGTTCAGAGTCAATGTGAATAAAATACGTCTTGTATTCAAGCGCTTTCATGTACAAAGCTTCGTTTGAATACGGCACAGATTAGAAATATTTATTTTGAATTTTTTTAAATATCGGGTTTTCACTCGCATGCACGCGCCACGTTGATGCTTGACCATATTTTATAGCCCAATCGATAGTGTGAAATAGTGTAGAAATAGTGTTTTGGATTCTGGTACCAGTAATACTATTACGAAAAAGATGTGTCCAAACGGGCCGAAGTATAAATGTTCGGCGAAATATATGGCTAGTCATTTACATTGTTCCTCATATTATGAAATATGATACCATACCTTACTTGTATGAAAATTTGCGTCGAACTAATGTTATTGTATTATAAAGAAAATGAGAACCATACAATAAATGTTTTAGTCCTTGTTGGTATTTTGAACGCACCGCTTTATCTTTACTGTAGCGCACAAAGCTCTTCTCGCGGATTATATTTTGCGCAGTACTAAAATTTGCGCACCCAGCGCTACACAAATTCTAGTACTGCGTGAATTTTAATACATGTACGTAAGATATATTGTCGACATTTGGCTAAAACTATCGTAAAGAATTAGGAGATTTTGTTCAATTTACACTACGTTGTGTAGTCAAATTGTCAACCTTAACTTGTCCTTGTTCATATTCCAATATATTGTATAAATTTGCTGGGTCCAAATTTTGGGGTTTTCGAGTCGTTTAATACAAAAAGAAAAACATTAATTCAACACGTAAGAAAGTCCAGAGTGCGACACAAAAATGAACACAAGTACACAACAGATGTTTATGAGTCTACAACATATATTTATAGTTGTTTATTAAAGTCAAACTGTCAAACCTTTAACTTGTCCTTGTTAATTGTATTCCACTATATTCTATGTTAGGATAGGGAGATAGGGACTCAAGGAGGTCTGAAACTGGTAATTGTGCGTGTGTGTACAAGTGTATG